CCACACCCAGCTTCTCAATTTTAAATCAAATTGAATATTAAAAATTGATTAAGTTGAGATGAGAAAAATAACATTTGTTCGAATATAACAGCTGAATAAATAATTCAATACATTAAAACATGTGAAACTTCACATTGATTTTTATAATTGCCATAAGAATAAAATTCATTTCAATTTACAACAAATGTTTTAACTGTTTCATTCGTTTGATAGTGACTTGTTTGTAAATAATTTAATATTTTTACTTGATTATAAAATGGCGAATATTGATTCACATTAAATTTAAGCATATTTACACGTATTCCACTGTAATCTAGAAGATGTTGGTGAGGTGTACGGATGTGGCTGTAGATTATTTGAGCAGATACAAAAGTATGTTGAATGTAAGTATTTTATTTTCCTCATCAATATCCTCATTCTCATTAGTGCGTATATCTGATATGATTATAGATATAATTATCTATGCCATTCATGAACTTACTTGGCAGTCTTTCTGTAACCAAAAAGTTTCGATTATCATACGTTCCAAATTAGATGAATACTATCAAAATAATTAAATATTACGAAAAATTACACGATGAATTAATGGAGCATTTGAAAGGATAATTAAAGTTATCGTATCAGTTATAACTTTTGTTAATCCTAATAAATTGATTTGCAAGAATGAAAGAACAAAAATATTCTTTTTTATTTGGTATCGAGAAAAAAATATAAAAGCGTGATAATGCAGGAAAAATATGCAAGGAAACAGTTCACGGCCATGACAAAATTAGAGTTCTTCTAATTAAAGTTTTGTTTGCAAGTTGGATTACTTGCAAGAAAAAGAATAAAATAATTAATATAATTCTGCACTGTTTAAATAATTCAAATTACCAATGCGTCCACCAGTAACTAATACTTTTCCATTTGATAATACCGATGCTGTGTGAACTTCTCGTGCATTAATCATGTTACTAGTAATTGTCCAAGTACTTGTTGATAAATCATATAGCTCAGCACTGTTCAAAGAACTATAATCATTGGATGTACCACCAATAACTAATACTTTTCCATTTGATAATACAGATGCTGTGTGATAATATCGTCCATAAGTCATGTTACTAGTAGTTGTCCAAGTGCCTGTAGATGAATCATAGAGCTCAACACTATTTAAACAACCATTAAAACCATATCCACCAGTAATCAATACTTTTCCATTTAATAGTACAGATGCTGTGTGATAGTCTCGTGCATTAATCATATTGCCAGTAGAAAACCAACCTAGAAGGTACATTTTATATATTTATACTATACAACATTGAATAATCAAACAATCGACATTCATTATTCTAAAAACTACAGTCTTTAATGCCTGTTTTATATCATCTCAAACTTATATAGACTAAGAATGGTAGTCAAATGTATTGTACAAAATCTCTTCACATGTCATTATGACATCTTCAGTTTTCTTTATTTTCTATTACTTACCAGCAGCTGTACTCGATTGACTGGTTGTGTTGTTCAAATTAACTGAAAAGCAAAAGAAAAAAAGCAATGAGCTAGAGTCAGTGGCAAGGATACCGCATATTATACCGGTTGATGTCGTTGTCGTTATTTTAGTGTTAGTCGTCCTCTTTTGAGCTGTTGTTAAAGCTGAATAAAAAAGGGTAAGTTAGTCACAAAATAAACACATTTCAAAAAGAAAATATAATGAAATCATGCTTACTCCTTGTTACAGATTTAGTTGTGCTTTTTGTACGTACTATTAAAACATAGAAATAAATTATTCTGGATTATTAACTATTTACTTTCGCTCTAATCGGTTTCACATTTGTAAGACAAAATTGCTTACTTGTAGTTGTTGTTCGTAATGTTGTAGCTGTTTTAGAGGAAAAAACAGATAAAACTAAAACAGTGATTAGAAATCTTTTTCACTTGTAGAAGTCTTTGGTGGACAAATTTGTTTGTTTGCTATAGTTAATGGATAGCATATTGGTTGACCACATCGTGTACTGTTCACACACATTGCACTCTCGATTGAACAAGTTACATTGTCCATATTGCATCGTACAACCCTTGCACAGGAGAAAATAGTTGGAGCACATATTCCCATATGCGAATTGGATTTTAATGAAAAACAATCGCAGTCAAGATTCGATGAACATGATATTCGTTGAGACTTACATGCAGTGAAATTACATGTTGCTATTGTTGAGTTAACTAACAAATAAACAATAAGAAAATAGAAAAAATCGTAGTTATTATTATTAAATACTTAGTTGTTGTTGTTGTTCTGATGTATTTCTACCGTTGAAGATGAAGAAAAAAGTATATAAAATGTAGAACTTGATAATTAATACTTACATTAAAAGTAGCACATAGAATAAAAATATAAAGCTTGAACTCAAAATTTTCGCCATTGTGAGATACAACCGTATGAATTATTAAGTAGAGATTATTCTTCTTCTAATACTTTTCGTTACATTTGTTATATAAGCGTTGTGAAATAAACAAACGAGAGCTGATCAACTCTATAGTTACCAACTAAAATACTTCCTTTCTTATTTTTCTAGAAAAATCATGAAACGAACTTTCCTTTAGTGTGTATAATCATCGGCTGAAATTTGAAGTGTGTTTGTAAAGAGAAAAAATCTTCGAAAATCACAACTTTATGCAATTACATATTTAGTGAATGAAAAAAGAAAAGAAAAGGAGAAGCAATAAACCATTGCTACTTTCTTGCTAATAAGACAAAAACATTGATGTGGCATGATTCGAGCTAATGAAATCATTTAGTGTACATTCGCTGAGCGAAATTTGCCGAAGACGAAATTTACGAAATCGATTTTCGTCGAATAGATTTATCTAGAGAAGCTGGATGTGGCTGTGGGTGTTCTATATCAAATATTCTCACACTCACACCCATCCTCAAGATGTTCTGAGAAAAACGTTAAAGAAGTTTTAGAAATGAACTTTTTTCATTTAAATCTAAAAAAATCATATCAAACTAGTATATTTCCAATATATTTCATCGGACTTTTTTCCAGCGCATAAAAATGGAGTAAATTAACGCGATCTAACACATTCGGGTAACGCACACATTTTTAAGTAACTGAACTTTCTGGATATGATGATTCATGCGTAAGTAAACTTAGTACCATAATCGATTTTTTTTGTCCGGATTCGCCTAAAAATTTGTGCTAGATGCAGAATTTAATTCTGTATCGAATGATTTTATTTTAGCGGGGAGACAACGGGATAAAGATATCGGTACACCCACCCACCCACCCACCCATACCCTTACCCGCACCCCTATCATCACCATTACCCTTACCCAAACCCGCATCCCCGATGATCCACCTCTAAAATAACATCATTCGATAGAGAATTAAATTCTGAATCCAACACAATCATATTCAGGCACAGCACAAGTCATGGAGCGAATTTCGACAAGAAATACAACATTTTTATGTACAAAAAATCGGTTAAAAACTCAGTTTTCAAAGGGTGTGGGTGTGGGTAAAGAGATGTTAAACACCCACACCCACCCTAGAGTCGAGTTTCGAAACAACAACTTTGAGGTTGTCACAAAGTTCTTAACATTCACGATCATTGTAGAATAAGTCAAATTTATAATATCGAAATTGCGAATTGAAACTATCATATGTTGAAAGAACACTAATGATGCATTATCTGTCATCAGCTGTAAAACATTTATCAGGAAGAAATGACGCCTAACTTTTTCTTTTGCTTTTCCTTTTAAATATCTCGAAATACAAAATTAAACATAGAATCTCTTGCTAATTCATGAGTAGCTAATTTAGGATTGAATTATTCATTAGAAGCAACAAATGAGTGTTATCGATATCGAATAGTAATAATCTTTTAGAAAAAGCAATACAAGTGAGCAGTAATATATTCATATTGATTATACTATGATGAAATATATATGATAAAAAGAAAATCCTATGATTGCAATAATATCGTTTTGGGTGATTCCATATGAAACGTACCACTTTGTACACGACCTTCTCAGAATTTGCTCAAACTTCCAGGCTTTGTAGAGCTCGTTGAGCTGATCATTTTTGTATAAAAATGTCATAGGTTTGCATCTAGTTTGACTTGGAGCCACCCATAATAAAGTGACGTGAAAATGTCGAAAAACAGGCAAAATCAAGTGGGTCACTAAAAGTATTTTGACTATTTTATCTTCATTCAAAATTGAAACTCCAACTATTTATACATATTCTGATAGCCCAGATTTCGCTCTATCGATCCATGTACAAGTTAGAGATCCAACGGTGACGATCATTAATCGCTATACCGGCAAACCGATGAACCGGTGAAACGATAACCGCTTAGACCGGTAAAACGGTGACGATTAATCGATCTAACGGTGAAAGGCGGTAAACGCTTTAAAACCTACGGTAAAGATCGATACTTTGGCACCATTAGTCACCATTTTTCTGAAGGGATATGAATTAATTAATATACTGGTCTTCACCGTGGTTTTAAAGTGTTTATCGGCTTTCACCGTTAGACCGATTAATCGCCACCGTTTCACCGGTCCATCGGTTAAAGCGGTTATCGGTTGGGTATGGTTATCGGTAGATCGGTTTTCATCATTTTTGCATCCCTAATAACGACAAAACGAATATACTTAAATAGATCAATTCCCGTTTCTAGACCTTATCCGTATAGTTTAGGGAAAAACAGAGATTAAAAAGAATAGTAATAATAATAGTAATATTTTAAAGTTCCTTGTGATCTCTGGGAATGGTTGTCTATATATCGGATCAGTGTAACCATTCTTTAGGAAAAAGTAAGTTACGTTCAGTATGATGTCGAATATGAAGTTCATTACAAAAATATTCAATCGTTTTATTGAGAACTTCAGCGATTATAACCTACTAAAGAAATTTAGTTTAGTTTCAAGAAAAAAAATATACACATATACATCTTAGGTGACCAATTAAGGGTGTCCCCCTCAGAAACGATTTCTCACTTAGCATGGTCGATTTCAGCTGAAATTTCCAGCGATAAGTGACTCTAGTGAGATACGCTTCTGGTGAAAATTTCAGCTCGCTAGGTCGTACCAGACCGGATTTCTAGTTGACTCATACGCAATTTTTGGCCTCCAGTAGAATTGACAAAACTCCCGTGTAAATCGAGGTATAGAGCTCGGGTTGGTTTTAAATTAAAGCCAATGTTAGTACGCAACTTTTGTCCGAGCGGAATGTTTTTATTGCGTCTTGTTCATTTTTTATGAGCATTTTAGTGGAGAGGTTTCCAAAGTAGCATAAAAAATGACGATTCAACAACAGTCAATTCCACTTTTTTCAGCTCAGGGATCAACTAAAAAAAATCCGCTCCGACAAAAGTTGACTCCGATTAAGGCCTTTAAAATAAAAAAAATATTAATTATAAGTCGAGATAGGAGCGAGGAGTTCCAATTTTTCTCATGAAAAAACATGTTCTGAGAAAAACGCTGAAGAAGTTTTAGAAATGAACTTTTTTCATTTAAATCTAAAAAAATCATATCAAAATAGTATATTTCCAATATATTTCATCAGACTTTTTTAAAGCGCATAAAAAATGAAGTAAGTTGTGGGGTGAGTGTCAGTAAAATGAATAAGATAAACCCACACCCTCAAGATGCTGTGTCTGATTTTACAAATGTTGTATTTTTGCATCGTGTTGCACACTTTCTTCTTTTGATTTCTTTGAATATTCCGAATAACTCTACGAATCAAAGCGATTGTTAACTTTTCTCGTCAACAAATATTCATGGAAGATTTTCGAATATCCAGTGGTCGTGTATACATCAAATATTTAGTTATTCTATTATTCCTCATAGTTACCGGGTATTTTTACAGCAGATCAAACAAAGACATACCCAAAGATCATAAACGGTTCTTGCAATGTGAAACTCCAGTAACAACGCCCTTCTTCTCAATATGGAATCCATCGTCAACGGCAAGAAAAAATGCAATTGCTATCTTATTTGACGGGTCTATAATGGATTTAGCGCCTAAGATAGGGGTACTTGATGCGCATATTTCTGATAATTTAACGGCAGACATCATTATTTTCCACAGCTCATATCCTGCAAATGTCCATTTACAGTCGCTTGCTAGTACGACTAAACGTCAAATTATTTTTTATAATATTGACGCCATATTTACAACGTTTCCGAAAGGATTCAATCCCTATGTAGAACACGCAACTTGGTCGAAACGAGGCAAATGGAATTATCATCATATGTGTCGGTTTTGGTTCAAACTTATTCTGGATATTCCATTAATTAATAAATATGACTATGTTATGAGACTTGACGGTGATTCAAAAGTAACGGGAGTTTGGTTTAATGTTTTTGATTTGATGAAAAATAAAACGGCGGTCAATTTTGCTAACGTAGAAGAAGCAGATCTCGAAGCTATCTTACCTGGCCTGATGAAACTGAAAACATTTACACTTGACTATCTAAATAAATCTGGAATAATTCCTAAAAATCCGATCAGATTGACACGAGCTTTTGATATTCCCGGTCAAATACGTTTACATAATACAAATTTTGATATCTTCAAAGTCGAATTTTTTAAAAGTCAACCAGTTACTCATTGGATCAATGCTGTGGACGAAAGTTTTGGTATATTTCGATATCGGTGGGGAGATCATGTGCTCAGATATCTCACAACCGCGATGTTTGCCACTCCAGACGAAGTACTTGTAAGAACAGATTTCAATCTGCCTTACTGTCATCCATGCTAATATCGGAAACATGAACACATCATATTTGGTATTGTAGAATGCTATTCATCGCGAGGAACCATAAGTTTAGCTATAGAGCATGAATAAAAAAACAAATACAAAGTTTTGTCAAACTCAACAAATTATATCACAATATATATGAGATAGATTGATTCTTACTGAGAGGAGATATTGGTATGTTTCGTATGAATAAACAACGTGATAGAGAATCAGAAGAGTATAAAGATGTTTCTTTCGTGCGATCAATAGCAGATGCATTTCTCATCAGCGATAACTATATTGATTTTCGCCGTAAGAATAAATCGAAAAGATTCCAATATATTCTGCGCAGCTGGCTTATTTGTTTTAGGTTGGGTGAATATCTATTTTTATTATTTTAATGAAAAATAAATTTTATAAGATGAAATTCAAAAGTGCGAAATAGAGTGAAGAGCAGGGGTGGTGCATTAGCGTTAGCATTGCATTAGTTAAGACTTAATTCTAATACTTAATGCTTTGGCATTAGTGTTAACTTAGCATTAGCATAATTCAACACCAACTATCATTTTTTGCTTATTTTTCGAGATATGACTTTGGTCATAGCTTTAGGCTCTTTCTAGTCAAGTTTTTGTCGCATTACCTGTAGTAGAAAATCGTATGCTCATATGAGACCTAGATTATTGTACGTCTATAAATATTTAAAGAGAATATATATTTTGTGACCAGATCGGTTATGTGAAAAGAAATCTCATCGTAAGAAGTAGAGAGCGAATGTCATGTGACACTTCGCATATCAGTGACTAGTATCAAACTGAATAAGTTATCACCAATAAAAAAGAGAAAATGTTAATTTCTTGATTATGATCATAGAATTTTTTTTCAACTCTATTCTATTTTATGCCCGTTGACACTTAAAGTATTAAAAAGAACTTTTAGTTATAAACATAATATTCCATCGTGATTTAGAGTTTATCTATATCTGTTCCTAAATAGAAATTGATTGAATATGAGTTTTACGAATTTCTTAAAAGCATAAGCATATAGATACATATATTCTTATGAAGATTTGTATAGACGAGTAAAATCAATGGAGGTCAACATCGACGGAGTTGTGTATTTTCTCTGCAGCTATATTCTAACCGAACGAAACAGAAGTTCAACTAACACCTGCTGCCATTTTTGTTTTATTTTTATGTTATAGATGTACGAAAAATATTTTTAGGTAGTGTATCGTCATTTCATCAGAAGTACTACTACAGTTTACAAGATGTTACGTAGATAATTACAGTTTTATGCAAGCGATACATATGATTCTATAAAAACCATGTATGTTTGCTGTATTTTGTCATTCTAGACAAGTAAAAAATGAAAACTTATTTAATAAACATGTATATAATCATGATCACAATAAACAAGATAAAATTGATGTCTCTTTTCTAAACAGACAATTTATTCACTTTAATATCTGCGCCATATGGTAGTCAGATAGTTTATCATGTTGTCTAAGTATAATTCCTTGCAATGAGATTTCATTTTCCAGTATCAATCTTTCATAAAAATGTGTTTTCAATCTGGATTTTTTATAAGAATTCATCCACAGATAGATTTTTTTCCGCTACAGCAAATCTCGTAGAAACTCGACTAGAAAGAGTGTAAAGCTATGTCCAAAGTCATATCTCGAAAAATAAGGAAAAAATGATAGTTGATGTTGAATTATGCTAATGCTAATTTAACTCTAATGCCAAAGTATTAAGTGTTACTGTAATACTAATACCAAGAGTATTAAGTATTAGACTATTTTTAATACAAAAGTATTAGCATTATCTTAACTCTAACACTAATGCACCACCCCTAGTATACTTTCAGTATTTGGCCAATTTTTACGTTATTTCACAATATCTGAAAGATGTTCTATACATTGTTCGATGCAGAATTTGATGGGCTACATTCTGATGTAAAGTACTCTTATTTATATTGGGTTTAATGAGTTATTCCCTTTTCAGAAAGAAAGGGTTATAGGCTCGTTCAGGCATGCTCCAATTCGGTTCGGTTCCAATTCTAGAATTGGTTTGAATTGGAATTGGTGCATGCCTAAGCTCGTTAAATAGGGTCATTAAAATGCTTAAAGTTTGTTTGCATAATCCAATCAGATTGCAGCAAATTATATTACAATAAATTCTTTCTATTTTATTTTTAAAAAAATCAAGAATACCCTTATCGAGGTCAAGAAACTCGAATCCGCTGTTATTTTTTGAAATTCTTTTTGTAAGTACCAATTTTTTTAGACAAAGGACTACTTTTTTTTACAAAAAAATGTTTTTTTCATAAAGTTTGACGACACATGATCGGAGAATGCGAATCGGAGATCAGATTTTTGAAATTTTTTTTATCCTTCAGTTTTTTACATAAAGGATAACTTTTTTGCGAAAAACATTTTTCAGATGCGGTGGGTGTGGATATTCACTTGTTCGGCATGTGTTTAAAAACTATTTCCAGCAGACTCAGAAAAATCGGATTTAAACGAGACCAAGACGAGTACGACTTTTAATGAGCGGGAGCGGGATTGCGATGAAAAAAACCTATCTGGTCGGACCCTAGTTGATAACTATAATCGGAATTTTCGGTAAGATACAAACAAATAATTTAAAAAAGGGAACAGCTATTTGAAATCCTGCTGTTGAGTCGTTGGCGATACCAACTGCAGATCAACATTCAAAATAAATGAAGATCTTTCCTGTGGCATAATGTAATATACTCTATTCGTTACAGCCCATAACATAGCTCTCCTTTTCTTAGTTTCTTCTTATGAATCATAATATCAAATACCTAGTATTTTTCTGAGAGAAATTCATATAAAATGCAGTTCTTCATTCCAAAGCTGAACTAATAGTGAAGAAAATAATAGGATTGAACACGAAAATGGCTAGGCGTGAGCGTGAGTGGCCGACGAACGACTAGGGATGTGCAGTGTCAGTGAAAATACTGAAAAACTGACACTTAAAATATCAGTTCGGTGTCCACCGAACACCGAATATAAGTGGTCGGTGCCCACCGTGGCACTGAAATATCGGTACCAGTGTTCACTGAACACGGACGATATCAGTTCCTAAAATATTTTTGTGTTAAACCTTATTGTTTACAATAATATATCAGTGTGTTCACCGAAAAACTGACACGGTGGACACCGACCACTTATATCCAGTGTTCGGTGAACACTGACACCGACATTTTCGGTGGCACGGTGAGCACCGAACACCGAATATAAGTGTCACTGAAAATCGTTGTCAGTGAAATTCAGCGCTCAGTAAACCGACACTGCACATCCCTACAAACGACTAGACATTCATTTAGAAGATTGCTTTAAAGCAGTTTTAAAATGAGTCTCAGTTGGGTTAAATGATTTCTTGAAAGCACTTAAGGAGGGTGTGGGTGTGGGGTGGGTGTGGGTGTGAGTGTGGGTGTGGATGAGGATATGATTGTGGCTATGGAAGGTGTATAAAACCCACACCCACACCCTCTCGGTCTCGATACATCACTAATTAGTTCTACGTAGGATGTAAAGTGTTACAAAAACTATCCACAGACAGTCCTCAAAAAGCTGCAGGTATCAATTCCAGACAGGGTCAAGATACTTACAAGGACTATCCCTAGATAACCCTCAGAAAGTTCTACGGATCACTTCCAAATTGCCCCCAAAACGTTTTGCAAACCATCTCCATATAGCCTTCAAAAAGCTATGGGAATTATCCTCAGGTAGTGCCCAAATAATTACAAGTATTATGTCCAGATAGTCTTTAAAAGAGTGTGTGGATCGTCTCTATGTAGCCCTCAAAACAATACAAGGGCTATCCTACATAGTCCTTGAGAAGTTGTATAGGTTACCTCTTGGTTAGTCCGAAAACTTAAGAAGGACAGTCTAAAATAGTTCATTAAAACTTGTTGATTATTCATCGGAACAGTTTGACTCCTAGTCATGTTCAGTCAAATCTAACTCAATTCCTTTCAAATTCAGATCCAAATCCAACTCATGTCAAATTTAAGCCTATACTTGTGATTGGATTTGGTACACGGCTATCTCAGAACTATATTCTAATTTCCCCATCATCTTTTATCAAACTTTAATAAATATCATTACTCTTGCAGAAAAACCTTTCGTTAAGAAGCTAATCGGATCAAAAAAAATTCCGTTACTATGTAGCGAATGACTGGTTAAGCAAGAGCAACTTCATTTTTTTAAAGATAACTATTACTGTATGGCTAGTTAGCGATTAGAAACAATGAGACAGTGACGGTATATCGGTAAATGATCATCATCGATGCATTAATAATAGGGTAATGATTGTCAAAAACAATTTTCTCGAGAAACTTTAAGAACACATCGATTTACGTGACGAAAAGCTATTTAGATATCAGACGGGCTGCCAAATCTAAATTTAGAAAACCAGGAGTTCATCGAAAAAAAACAGGGATTGACCAGGAGAATAAACCAGGAGATTTTTAATTAAAAAAGTTTTCTTTGTTTTTTTTTGAAAAAAACTGACTTTTTCTTCTACACAGAAGATGAAAATTTTCTCCTAATAAGTTATTGCGGCACATTTTTCTATCTTCTCTTTCTCGTAGAGAAGAGTCCAGTAAACCTAAATTGTTTGGTTGCTTGCTTGTTTGTGTGTCCGCAGGGTGAAAAAAATATCGAAAATTGGTTTTTCACAGTTCTCATTCGTTTCTTTCAGTAAACGTGAAGAAAATGCATTGCTAACAGAAAGAGCTCAGCGAGTTCTCGGACGAGCATTACTTGTAATATAATATATGAACAAAAAATAATGATAATTATGTCTCAGTTCATCGTTTATTTCGAAATCAACCACAAAGTGTAAAAATATTTCCTAATGGACTAGACTCAGTTTGTGGCATGACATTGTCTTTCGGTGAATTCGTTATTTCAATGATTTTAGCATCTTCCAACGAAGACATTTTGAGTAATGTTTAATGTATTCCTTCTTTTTATCTACAATATATAAGTTTTTACAGTACCTCTCATTTGCAAAAACTAAATTACTTTTTAGTTTTATTACATAATTGAGAATAAGACTAATATGTTTTCTTATTGGTTATTGCATTTATTAAAAAATGCGAGATTCCTATTCTTCGCTTACTTTTCTCTGTTTTGATTATCTCATTTTATGGATTAAAGGTATCGTTAAAAGTTGAAATTAGAAGAACATTCAGGAACCAGGAGAAGAGTCAAAAAACCAGGCGATTTGGCAGTCCTGATATTAGAGTATCTTTTTACATAAACACAAGTAAAAGCTGATCCATGATTAATCATTCCTTGCATATTAGAGTTAAAGAAGAAACGCTCACGATTATGAGCACACACGAGCATGAGCGAGAGCTGTACACCCCTAGTAGAATTATCGAAGCAATTCATCTTCCATTTTAGGTGGATAACTTTACTGCTCAATTCATAGCGGTTATGGTAGTTGTACAGTAAATTTTCACTTAATAATCAAAATAGATCGAGTCAGAAGTTCATCAAATTTCTCCGCCCCAACCAAACAATACATTTCATTCATGGAAACAACCTTCTATATTGATGGCAAAAATATTCGCTGTTGGCTAGGATTATGTACATGTAACTGAAGAAAATATATAAAACTGCAGCCAAAAACTATAGACAAGACGCTTGTAAAATAACAGTAAAATTTGTAGTCTTCGTTCATAGTTTCGTCGCCCTTTTCGTCTCCATCTATTGTTGATATGATGAACGACACTGTTAAGTATTGCGTGTATGGAATTATATTGATATTACTGTTAGTATTCGGCATTTGGCTATATACACCAACTATGCGCCATGTGCATAGTTCTCCATCACCACAACTACCGTCGCTACCATCGCAACTACCATCTGCATACTGTACTAGCTCCAGCATTCATGCCAACTGTCTCTTTAGTCGATCCCTTTGTTATAATATTAACTCGGCTCTTTGGGAAGCATCTAGTTTACCGTTCTCTAATTGGTCTGGGGTGTCTCTGAGATCTCGTGACTTAAGTAATGGTTATCGATGCAATGATCCGTTTTTTCCTAAACTTCATTCTATTCCAGTTAATAATAATATATATTGGATAGATGGTACGAATGTGTTGTCATGCATTTGGGTTGCTGTCTTTGGTCACATATTTCTCGAAATGATGCTACCTGCTTGGTTGGCAATGCGGACTTTGGCCGATCGTTTGCACTTCTCAGACCAAAATATTACATATATCATAGACGACAACCAATGTAGTTGTCCACTTGCTGCTCCATCATTTTCACTACTCTCACATCGACCTGTACTAAACTTTGGCAATCTCGTGAATCAAGGCAAAAAATATGGTAAATCTCATATTTGCTTTGATAGAATGATCGTTGGATATCGTCTTCAGACGCCACTAGAATATGCGCATAACCTTGCTCATCTTGAAAATGGTGATTTAGCCCGCTATCGCGATGCAATAAAAACTCTACATGGATTACCTCTGCACGTGAATATGTCAGCTGGTGCATGCATCGCTCTTCTCGTGCAACGTGGTGTCGATAGAAGACTTATACCCGAAAGTATAAAACAAATTGTCGAAACACTTCGTGAACGCACACTTTGTACTGTAAAAGTAGCTACATTCGAGGGTCTACCTATAGTAGAGCAAGTTCGTCTTGTTGCCACTGCAACAATTTTTGTTTCTGTTAGCGGCTCTGGAGCTCAACAGTTCATATGGCTCCCAGATGGTGCGGTATCTTTAATTATTATACATCCACAACAGCCATTGAATGTGATTGGTCACGGTGGAATAGGTGGAGGTGGACTAATATTAAACGACTTCCTATGCTGGAAACTTCCCACGATCCTCTGTCTTCAGGCTGGAGCCAAAGGCATACAACCGAGAGAGGATGGTAGAAACAGTATCCAAATAGACAAGAAGTTATTTTCAAATGCATTAGACATGATTAAAATGTGGCATCACAGGGGAAAATTTGATCCACGGGATCCAAGCGAGTAATAGTCACCATCAGAATAGATTTTGAAAATAAATGTATTTCTTATACCGGTGGTCCTAAAATGTTTGCAACATTTTCTATTTTGTTTAGATCTCGGCTCCGACAAATGATAGAACCTTGTTTTTTTAAAAGATGCGTCTTGAAACGCTCTTGAGGGTGTGGGTGTAGACAAAAAGAACACCCACACCCACACTTACATCAAAAAACTAGAAACATTTACAACAATGATCTATGCGTATTGAAATTGACGCGGTGCGAAGCACCATCACTAATAGAATTACTGGATATGTGCTCAATTTAGAAACTTCTCTGAACTCAGCTTTCGTTGTTGAACTTTAAGGAAGTATTTTCAGTAGTTGGAAAAAAACACCAAGGAGAAACTTTTTCGTATTTTTCAAGTGGAAAGAAGCATTTGTAGACGCTAAAAAGTAGTATATGGTGATCAACAGCTCTTGTACTTTCAAACGATGTAAAAGGAGGCAAAAAAGCTTTGTTACCTGGAGCATGGTTTACCTGTACCTTACTATTGTATAAAAAAATTTTATATTATGAAATTCCTACCATTGCATTCATGACTGAGAATAGTGGTAACAGTGAGTGTGATAAATCTATCACGTAGTGAAATAGCGAGGAAGACTTTTTCGAAATGAGGATAACATAATTTTTAGTGTGTTTCTACTAGTCGTAAATTATTTCTGCAATTGTGTAGTAATACAAGTCGTTTGTCAGTGTTTTAGAAAACTTAGATTTGAACAAACATCGTACTACAGTTTTTTATGAATCAACGGAGAAAGTATCTTATACTACTACCTATAATAGTTTGTAGTATTTTGGGAGGATTTCGCGTTGGCCATATGTCGTCACATTCCATACTCGAACTTTTCGGCACAGAAGGACCAAGCTTTTTGCTAAACCCACAGTTGTTGACATCTTCAATGGATATTGCTATTATTGGTTCTTCTGGATATATCGGCTCACGGCTCTTTCATCACCTGCAAGCAGAAAAAACGTGGACCGTCGTTGGTTATGATCGCATCTTCCCAGGACAAGCGAGTTACGAAATATCAACTCAAAACCTGCGTCACTTTAAGGTACTAATCTATTTGGGTGGACTAACAGGCCGTGCAATGTGCCGAGAGCACCCTGGTGATGTGGAACAAGAGAATATCATAGACATCTATAATCTGGCAAAACGTATGTCATCCTCACAGCTTTTAATATTTGCTTCTACATCTGCAATCGCCGAGAGTTCTGGTCCCATATTTGTCAACGAAGATTCTCCTGTTCGAT